CCTCCCCACTCTTTCCGTCGCGTTGGTCTAAGTCCTCGAGGCGGAGAGAAAGGAACCAGAGTGATGGACGGCTGCCTATGGCGTTGCCATGTGGCCTCGGTCACGTGGGTTCGTGACATAAGGGGTAAAAGAATCTTGAGGTCATGGGGCTTCCCCTGACCTGGATTCTAGCTCTCCGTCACCTGCAGAATCGCTGATTAATGCCTACAGTTCAAAATAGTCATTTTGACTGACCAGAGTCTATGGTGGGTATGAACTATGTGAATAGGCGGGTTCGAAGAACCCTCGCCTAATTTCGACTTCTTGTTAAAAACCGCAAGTGCAATTGCTTTGATATTACATATATAGGTACTACATGTGGACCTCTCTTAGATTTGTTCATTTTGTAATGATATCTTTAATTCTCTAATTTTGGTGAATATTTTTGTCATTTTTGGTAAAAAGTGATATTTTCGACTTCTTGTTAAAAACCGCAAGTCCAATTGTTTTGATACTACATATATAGGTACTACATGTGGATCTCTCTCAGATTTGTTCATTTTGTAATGATATCTTTAATTCTCTAATTTTGGTGAATATTTTTGTCATTTTTGGTAAAAAGTGATATTTTCGACTTCTTGTTAAAAACCGCAAGTCCAATTGTTTTGATACTACATATATAGGTACTACATGTGGACCTCTCTCAGATTTGTTCATTTCGTGATGATATCTTTAATTCTCTAATTTTGGTGAATATTTTTGTCATTTTTGGTAAAAAGTGATATTTTCAACTTCTTGTTAAAAACTGTAAGTCCGATTGCTTTGATATTACATATATAGGTACTACATGTGGACCTTTCTCAGATTTGTTCATTTCGTGATGATATCTTTAATTCTCTAATTTTGGTGAATATTTTGGTCATTTTTGGTAGAAAGTTATATTTTCGACTTCTTGTCCGATTGCTTTGATACTATACATATTGTTCATTTTCTAATGATGTCTTCAGTTCTTTAATTGAAATGTGCATTGCTAACAGCGGAGCTATCTCAGCCGATAGGCTGCTTGTTTATAACAGTTTTTTATACTGGCTATATTGCCCCCCCCCCACTATATTTCACTATGGATTTCAAAATGTATGTGTTTGTATAAAAAGTGCATTTTCCATATTTCCATATATCATGTACATTGAATTTCATGTTAAATGTCTTGTGACCAACTTATGAATATTCATGAGCCATCTTTGAGCGAATCATCTACATTGAATTCCATGTACCGGTACAGTGTGTCATGATCAACCTGTGGATATTCATGATCCATCTTTGAGCCGATCATCTACATTGAATGCCATGTACAATGTGTCATGATCAATTTATGAATATTCATGAGCCATGATCTTTTAGCCAATCATGTACATTGAATAACATGTACAATGTGTCATGATAAATTTATGAATATTCATGATCCATCTTTTAGCCAATCATCTACATTGAATGCCATGTACAATGTGTCATGATCAATTTATGAATATTCATGATCCATCTTTGAGCCAATCATCTACATTGAATGCCATGTACAATGTGTCATGATCAATTTATGAATATTCATGATCCATCTTTTAGCCAATCATCTACATTGAATGCCATGTACAATGTGTCATGATCAATTTATGAATGTTCATGATCCTTCTTTGAGCCAATCATCTACAATGAATTGTGTGTTCAATGTGTTATAAAGTTTTGAGCTAATCCAATAGGCCATTGTCAGTAAAACATCATAAAACTTTTGATAATATTAATGATAATATTAATCTTTTGATAATATTAATGTTCAGTTTCTTTTCTTGTCTTGTGATAGATCGCTCCAAAGTAATCCCCGGGATGCCAACAGAAAAGGAATATATTGCATGGTACTGTCACGCAATGAACATAACACCACCAATATCACATTATAACTTCTACTTAGCATTGAGTTTATTTAAGATGGCTAGTATCTTACAGGTGGGAATCACTTTTAACAACTTTGCACATATATTTCTATTCACCATGAACAGTAGAATGTTTCCTCATTCATTATATTTGAAGATCAAATAGTAATTTCATTCATTTTATTTTTTTGACACCCCCCCACTCGTCCGAATTGAATGAAAATAAAAAAGACCCAGAACAAAAGTTTCTTAGCCTCAAGATATTTTTTTCTTCACCAACAATTCAAATTCAGTGTACATTTTTACACATTTTAAAAATTTTATTTTAAATTTCAACTTAATTTTGACTCAGACAGTATCTGACTTTTGCTTTTAGATTATGATAACAAATATTGTAAATTTTTATCAAGCTTTGGTGTCAAGAGGAGGCATAAAATATTTTGTGGCTTGTGCAAAATGCAATCTTATATATAGTGGCAATTTAATTGAGTCAGTAGATATAAATAATATTTTCATCATTGCCAAAACAGGAATACATGTTAATTACGAATCTATGTTGACAGGGAGTGTATGCACGCTTTATTCAAGGCATTGCCAGTGCTATAGCTGATAAAGCTGAGAGTGTTGGTAGTATTGTTGAACCAATTGCTGATAAAGCACTTCTAGTACTAACAAGGTAAGAACTAGAACCATTCTAATTTATATTTACCGTATGCATTCCTATTTGCTTAGATTTCTGAAAATTTGCATTGTAATATATGTAAGAGCTGGTGACAAAATTATTGTTTGAATACTGTGTGTAATAATAATAATAATAATAATAATAATAATAATAATAATAATAATAATAATATCCACTAAGGAATTTTTATTAAAATACAGTAAAGACATAAGTACAATATAAAATAAATAAATAAATAAAGAAAAATAAAATAAAATAAAATAAAATAAAAAATATTGTAATAGTGTGAAAATACTTGAAACAGGAAAAACGACCATATATATAATGTATGTTTAGCATTTCCAACTGTTCATTACCATGTAAATCACTTTAATTAAACATCTGGAATGAAAACAACATTGATTTTGAAGTTAAAATGAATAATTTAGAAAAGTTTTTAAATATTTGGCATACATCATGGTATGTAATATTGAGTAATTAGATATTAACATGGGCTTAGGCTTTTCCACGAAACAAAATGAAACAAAATAAAACGAAACGAAACGAAACCCTAACCCTAACCCTAACCTTAGATTTTGAACGACCTCAAACATCGTCACGTCCGTATTTCACAGTGTGAAATTTTCTCAGATATTATTGGGCCAATGAAAACAAAAATGCGAGTTAGGGTTAGGGTTAGGGTTAGGGTTTGGGTTTGGGTTTGGGTTTCGTTTCGTTTCGTTTCGTTTCGTTTCGTGGAAAAGACTAAGCCATTAACATGTGCCTGTGGTCTTTGCAATGTGCACTTCACAATTTTATGGACAACTATTAAAAAGTATTTTTACACTTGTTTAATACATTACTTGGGAGTTGTATTGAGCCTGTATCAAGTCCTCTTTGCTTCACAGGTTGGACTCTGAAATTAAATGGAATACGATTTCATCAGTGGACGATATCTTACCTGTTCTGGACTCCTGTGCTAAATCACCAAAAGGTCAAGAAATATACAATAGGGTCAAAAGGTTTATGAAGGAACATGTCTATCCTGCTGAAGTGGTAAGCCTTTATGTTGCTTTTAGAATGCACCCTCCTTTGTTCATAGAAATTTTTATCCCATTACCAACTTTCTTTCTTTTTATAGTACCAGTAGTAGTTGTCACAACTAATCTTTATTGCTATTAAGGGATACAAACTTTATATTTCTGAAGATGCAATAAAGTTATTATTATTATTATTATTCGGAATCTCTTCTTTGGTTGATTTGTGTTTAGTTTTTATGTTCATAGAAATTTAATCTGTAACACAAAATCCTCATGGCAAACTCAATGGGAGCATGCTCATTAGCATATAATTTTCATCTCATCAACATTTTACCATCAACCATAATTGCTAGTTGTGAGTCTTTCCTGAATAATCCAGGCATGATAATTATACAAAAAAAATGCAATTCAGGAAGGGAATATCTGACTGATCCAGTCATGTTGCAGAATTGTGTTGCCCTTTAAGACTTCCTGACCACAATTTTCCCCACAAAAATCAACATGACAAAAAAACTATATAGTCACAAATTTGAAGATGTCAGTATCCATTTCTTAGGCACGCCTTATTCAAACTTTGAATAGACAACAGGCTTGTTTTGTTTTGTAATTTGATTCAATATGGCCAACTGGCAGCCATGTTGGATTCTGCATCCTTAACCAATTCTCTGAAATGCCTTGATAATTACAAGATACTATTTTTTGTCTTCAAATGTTATTTTAGCCAGATGTCATTGACAATAACTTGTTACTTAATTATTCATTAGGTGTTTGAAGAGCAGTTAAAGAATTCAACAACAAAATGGTTTCTACCGCAAGTACTAAAGAATCTATGGGTGTGTATAATCACTATAGTCATAAACCATAGATGATGTGTCTTTTATGTCAATATCTCAAAATATTAATATTTTCTGTCAAACAAAGTAAACTAAGTTTTATTAGTGACTCTTGGTCAAATTAGTAATGTTAGTAAATGAACCAAATTTCTATGTTCTTCTAGGCTAAGGCCAAGGAAGAAGGATTATGGAATTTATTTATACAGTCAGTCAGTGGATTGACTCATCTTGACTCCGCTCTGATTGCTGAAGAAGTCGGTACAAGTCCTATTGGTCCATTAATCTTTAACAAGAATTCATTGTGTAAGTAATTATCCCAAGTGTATATCCCAGGTGTACAATTTGAATATTAACTTTGTAGAAGTCTTTTATTGGTCCATTAATTTTTAACAAGAATTCATTGTGTAAGTAGTTATCCCAGGTATACAATTTGAATATTAACTTTGTAGAAGTCTTATTGGCCCATTAATTTTTAACAAGAATTCATTGTGTAAGTAGTTATCCCAGGTGTACAATTTGAATATTAACTTTGTAGAAGTCTTATTGGTCTTTCAATCTCTAACAAGAATTCATTGTGTAAGTAGTTATCCCAGGTGTACAATTTGAATATTAACTTTGTAGAAGTCTTATTGGTTCATTAATCTTTAACAAGAATTCATTGTGTAAGTAGTTATCCCAGGTGTACAATTTGAATATTAACTTTGTAGAAGTCTTATTGGCCCATTAATTTTTAACAAGAATTCATTGTGTAAGTAGTTATCCCAGGTGTACAATTTGAATATTAACTTTGTAGAAGTCTTATTGGTCTTTCAATCTCTAACAAGAATTCATTGTGTAAGTAGTTATCCCAGGTGTACAATTTGAATATTAACTTTGTAGAAGTCTTATTGGTTCATTAATCTTTAACAAGAATTTATTGTGTAAGTAGTTATCTCAGGTGTACAATTTGAATATTAACTTTGTAGAAGTCTTATTGGTTCATTAATCTTTAACAAGAATTCATTATGTGAGTAGTTATCCCAGGTGTACAATTTGAATATTAACTTTGTAGAAGTCTTATTGGCCCATTAATTTTTAACAAGAATTCATTGTGTGAGTAGTTATCCCAGGTGTACAATTTGAATATTAACTTTGTAGAAGTCTTATTGGTCCATTAATTTTTAACAAGAATTCATTGTGTGAGTAGTTATCCCAGGTGTACAATTTGAATATTAACTTTGTAGAAGTCTTATTGGTCCATTAACTTTTAACAAGAATTCATTGTGTGAGTAGTTATCCCAGGTGTACAATTTGAATATTAACTTTGTAGAAGTCATATTGGCCTTTCAATCTCTAACAAGAATTCATTGTGTGAGTAGTTATCCCAGGTATACAATTTGAATATTAACTTAGTAGAAATCCTATTGGTCTGTTAATTTTTAACAAGAATTCATTGTGTGAGTAGTTGTCCCAGGTGTACAATTTGAATATTAACTTCGTAGAAGTCCTCCCATTGGACTGAGCTAAAAACTAGATCTATACCAACATTTTTATAGTGATCATATACTGATAAGACAATTATTTTAAAGGGTAGTGATCATGTTGCGTTCGATATGGGAGTGATGTTTACACTGAGTGTAAAATAAAATGTATAATACATTGTATGTTCACATGAAATTCAAACATGTGCTACGCAATGACCAATGCCCTTCAAGACACTTTGAGCCATGTTGTTGCATAGATATGCAGTGCATTATGGAATAGAATCTTCCATTGTATATGATTGTAAAATGTAAACTTTAAATTATTGTCAATTTTCTGAAATCTTAGTATTTTTATCATCAATTATATATAACTTTTTCCTCCCATGTCATATTGCCAACTTTGAATAAATAAAAATAGAAACCTGTGTAAAAATGATAATTTTCCCCATTTTTATGACATTTTGGACAATTTATTGTATCATGACCATATGAAGTGAAATTATAGAAGTATGACGATGACACATGTTCTTCAATGGTTACACTTCTGAAGATACTTCAAATTGAGTGATAATGTAGGTAGCATAGTGTAATTTTTTCCATTTCTATACTCCAAAATATTAACTGCTTTATTGTATTTTTCAGATATTGATTTGTTAGATCAGTTTGGTACTAATGAACAAAAGATGAAGTGGGTGAAACCATTACTGGATGGGGAAGTAACTTCAGCAATAGCTATGACGGGTATTTATTGATAATATTACTCGCTATTATTATTATTATTATTATTAGGTCATTCACTTCCAAGAACAAACAACACTTAGGAATTCCCATAAACCAAACACAAAATAGCTATGATGCAAAGCAGACAACCACAAAACAGCTCGGCCGCAGAATTGTCAAATAGCAATGGATTGAAGGGATTTGGGTATTGATGGAATTCCTCATTCCAGCTCACATACCGGTACTCTTGATTAATATGCCTTAACAATGCAAGGGTGAATTGTTTTCAAACATTGATAACCCAAAAAATGAGTGTTGAGTTTGGTGTTCGGCTGTTTTAAATGTGCAAAGACCTCTCAAATTGCACATTCTTGGGTTGTCGAAAAAAGTTTGGGTGATTGTCTCTTGATCATTACCTCCATTAATGTCTTCTGATCTGGTAAATTCTGTTAATTTGAAGGTAATCTTCATTTCAGAGAAAAGCGCTTGTTGATTGAGCCAAAACATATGACTCCCTAGGTGGGTTAAAATGTGATATGTCATCTGAAAAACCCATTGGTACTGATATAATATTTATTTTTGGACTCAATAGACATAATTTCCTATTGGCAATGCATCTTAATCATCTTCTGAAAAAATATAGACAGAATCAGCTGTGTTGGGGGCTTGTACTGCAGCAGCAATTATTATGTTTCGGAATATTATTAGTCCCCGTTTGGACAAAGTCCGAAAACGGGGACTTTTAATTCGGTCTCCGTCCGTCCGTGCGTCTGTGCGTCCGTCCGGAGTCAAATCTCAGAATCCCTTGGACCGATTCCGTTCATTCTTTGCATATGCCTAGTACTTTATGTGGGACCTATGCACATGCAGTGGTTTTAGTGATTCGCTTCAAAATGGCCGACTGGCAGCCATCTTGTTTTTTGAAAATGTTGTATTTTGAACATGCTTTGTCAGTTGTCATTCAAACTTGGTACATAGATTATACATGTTAGGATACATGTCCATGATTGGATCAAAGATGGTCGACTGACAGGCATCTTGTTTTTTTTTTTTTTATGCAGTATCTTGGACATGAACTGTCAGTTTTCATTCAAATTTGACACATACATGTACTATGCATGCCATCTGACTTTTTGGCCTTACTACTATATTTCCACAATTTATGTACCATTTTCATTTGTATTTGGCACATACATCATACATATCAGTGTGTTTCATAATCAGATCAAGGATGGCCGAATAACTGCTGTTTTTATTTTTGGCCATATTACTACTACACGGAACACATGTTTTGATGTAAATAAACAATCTGTTATATATACGCCACTTGGAACTCAAGTTTCAAGGATACGCTCGCGACAACCCCTCTGCTTTAATATAACAAGCACAAAGAGAACTTTCAAAAATTTAATGGGGACTGTGTCATTTTCAATGACTTGTTATTTTCAGAAACAAATGTTGCTTCTAGTGATCCGACCAGTTTAGAATGTTCAATCAAACGGGTTGGTGAAAACTATGTTGTAAATGGAACAAAATGGTGGATTTCAGGTAAATTTAATCATTGACTTGTATAGCTAAGTAAAAGCAGGTATCACTTGATGAAAAAAGTCCACCAATCAGTGGCCTGTGTGGAGAGTAAAACTGTTTGTGATTGGTTGTCAGTTAAATTGTATTCTTGTGCCTGTATTCTTGTGTTCTGTTTCTGATAACAAATATATACAGCTGAACATATGAAAAATTTGAATGATCGCAAATAATTGTTTCTACAAAAAATCATGTATTTTATTATGATAAACAAAAATTGAATGAATCTTTTTGTTGTTGACAGGAGCTGGTGATCCCAGGTTAAAATTAGTGTTTGTGTTGGGAAAGACTGGAGATGACATTATACCAAGGTAACAACAAGATTGTTTGTAGACAGGAAAGTTAAAACTGAAACTGAAACTGCATTTCAATTGTGAAACTTTGTTTTACGTTATTTCACAGACACAAAAGACACAGCATAGTAATTGTACCTGTTGATACGCCTGGTTTTAAGATTGGACGATCTTTACAGGTTTTTGGTTATCAAGGTATTGTAAAATTAATTTTTCATCAACAGACTGAATTCCTGAATTATGTTTCTTGTTTTTAGAGTACAATTTTCCAGATGATGATAAAATGTAAAGATTGTGCAGACTATAAATAATTTGAATTTGTGATGAAAAGAAGAACTGGTGGCGAAAAGGTTAATCCTATGTTCTAGCATTTATGTTGTCTGCCTTGAAAGGATGTAATAGTTTGGATTTACACTTTGATTTCAATAAACATTGCTGTTTAAAACTTGCCTTTTTGTCAACTTTTAGCCAAAAGCTGTGTTTAAATTTTACCCAACTAGTAAACTAACATCAAGATTGTATTCTATACATATTCCTGATTGTATACAACAGAAAAAAAGTACTCTATGCATTCTGATTACCAAAAAGTGTAATTTTGCGGAGCACTCTAACTTATACAGAAATCAAGTCTTTTTATACACTCGTTGCCCTGGTTTATCTTTGAAACACAAAAGTTTCATTTTCGAAATTTGTTTAAATTTCAGATGTTCCATTTGGTCATATGGAATTACATTTTAACAATGTAAGAGTACCAGTATCAAATATATTACTTGGTAAGTATAATATTCTACTGAAACTTTTTCATTGCATGATAAAGTCCTATCCAGATTTTATTGATTCATAGAAATACAAAGTTTCTATCAATTAATAGGAAAAAAGATCAGTTATGATAACTACTGCTATCGAATAAAAAGTAGATAGGATAAAGCAAGTGTTACATATCAGATGGCAATTTAATTTCTTGATTAAAACGAGTCATGTTTTAAAGAAATAAATTTCTGGGGATCATCCTGTGTTTTGCGTGGAAATGTAATGTCTTGTATTACCGGTATACGTTTATATTGAGATTATATCATAACAAAGTGCAGTTCATCAGTTTATTCCTTTCTGTGTACATTATCTGCAGATTCTATTTTCATTTGGTATTTTTGGTTGCATATGTCTTCCTTTTTCTATTGCTAAATTGCGATTACTAGTTCTAAATTTTGTCATTGAAATTCTTTGTTTCAAATTCAACACATCCAAGTGTTTTTCAAAATTATATTTTTCATACGTTCTCATACATTTTATTTTCTCAGTTCTATTTGTCTTTTGAATTGAATTTCATGGCATCAATTTCAGACCTTTTAAAAATATTAATGAAAGTTCTACAGTTTGTTTTTTCTTTTGGACTGTTGCAATGAATATGTATTTTGCCTTGGCTGCTTTATCTGCTAAATTTTGTTTGGCTTCCAGTGTAGCAGTAATTTGACTTTATACCAAGTAGTGTACACATCTGCTTATTGTATTTGTTCATTATATATTTTTGTTCATGTTT